TATATATAGATATTTAAATATATAAATAAATACAGTATGGGTTACAATATCTACTTTTTACAAAATACAACATTTTTTAGTACAATGAATTAATACAATTAACACAACTACATTTTACAAAATTTTTATTACACAACTGTATTGTTATCTGGTTAGTTAGTATAAAAAATTTACAATAGTATTTCTTATTTTGTGGAAGTTTAAATAATTTGGTTTTATTCACAGTTTACTTTAAACAAAGATATGTTATTCAAAACGGCATATATTAAAACAAGTTTTTGAATTTTGCTTCTCTTGTACAATATGTAACTATATTGAGTGGGTGATGGTATCAGAGAATCTGTAAAACTTAATAGAACAAGCTGTAATGGCCAAACAATATCACATCTATTCTGTTATCACAAATAAATTTTTTATCATAAAATGGGGAGAGAGATATTATGTTCTCAAGATATGTTTACACAAAATAATTTTTACTTTTAATTCTGTATTGTTGATGTCTTAACAGTTCTGTGTTAAATAAAACTTCTTTGTATTTTTTGTGATTAAAACTTTTTACAACCGATTTTTTAATTTATTTGCTCTATTGAGGTACAATCACTCAGCAGTATGTAAATCAAGAAACAGAACACCTTAAGTTGCTGAAAAAAATTTAATAAAAATTTAACAAACTTTTTCATCCAAATCCATTGGCCATCATCAGGTTAAAATATTCGAATGTGAACAAAATGGAACAAAAATCAAAATATAAATAAAATAACAAATGAAATATACATATATATGTATAAAAAAGACAAAATAAAATAAAAATTATAATAAATAACAAAATATGTATACAAATACATGTATAGGTTAATTAAATATTAAAACGTTTTGTAATAATACATCACATGGAATTCGAAAAAATGCAAGGTATGCAAAAAATACAAAAATTAAAACATTAAATTAAGAGCTCTCTAATCGTTTAATTAAGTATTTCCATGCTGAAGACAACATTCAGCATCCCTAAAATTGATGCATGTATCATGCAATCTGCTCTTAAAACCTATACATGTATTTATAAACATATTTTGTTATGTATTATAATTTTTATTTTATCTTTNGATATCGTTTAATAACGATTTTAAAATATCCTAATTTATTTTTTTTATATTATAAAATTTATGGATTTTTGGATAGTTGCTAAAATCGAAAATATCTGGAAATAATTTAAAGTCATTATAAACATTAATTTTAAAAATTTGAATCATTAGTGAATCAGTATCTGTGTATAATAAAATCACATTTTTATCATATATATTTTTTAATATTTTTTAAAATGTTTGATATATATCTGTAATTTAGTCGATATCAAAACAAAAATCTGATATAAATCAGTTTATCTAAACATAAGTTAGTTTTTTCATTTTAAAAATTGTGAGATTATCATTTATAATTTGGAATTTTTCTACCAGTGGTTGAGATAGATATTTGTGGCATTGATCCTAAGTCAAAACAGTTTTTAAACTTAGATGTTTTCATATGTTTTGACAAGATTTACCAAAAAAATTGTTATTATTTAATTTTAAAAAAATCTTATCGAAATCATTCTGTGATTTTGGTCTTTTTTATTATTAAATATATAGACCTATATATTATATTTTAAGCCAAGCATCTTGATTAAACAATGAATTTTACTTAACGAATGTTAGTTAATATTAACCTCTCTTCTAAATTAAACTTTAAATTTCTATAATGATTTAAATAATTTTGTTTATCGAAAAAAGTAGGAATTTATATATATTAATTAAATAAATTAGTAATTTACTATTATTATTGTATTTTTTATTTAGTTAATACAGATTTTTTGCTAATTCAATAATAAATAATATGGAATATTAATATGTTCAGAAGCTAAGGGTAGATCATTATGTTTATCATGAATATTTTCCAGGTATTTTAAATCGTCTTCTAAACCGTAGTGAAAATTATGGCTCTCAGGTATATTACAAATGTCTAAAGCATTTTTTCATCTCCGGATTGCCATATGAAATTATTTATCGGTAAATAAGAATTCATTAAAAATCCATAAAGATTATTCGCATCTATTAAATTAAGCTGATTTTTATCAAACATTTCGGAGGTTAGAGAGTTAATCCACAATTCCAGGTTAGGTCTGGAGCTGTTATAAAATATACAGTATTTAAATTATAATATTTTAATCTCAATTTTCTAAAACTTTGAAATATATAAGCTAATAATAACGTGTCTGCATATTGATATAATTTTAAATAATCTCTGAACATTTTACAACAAAAGTTTTCTCAAATTAATTTAACCTGGTTGTAATCATCATTGCAAAGACTTTTTCCAAATAATTCATTATGAAAGTATTGTTTTGATTTTCCATTTGATATTTTTGAAAATCAAATGGGAATCATAAATAGTAAAATTATGTAGCATAATAGAAATAAAGGTTTTGAAACTATAATTTAAGTTACAGCTATTATACAGCTACACAAAAGTGACATGTGATCCATAACTCTGATATCATCACTATCAAACTTCTCCTCACAAATATAGCAACAATGTCTACAATTATCAGAAATAGTATTTATATTTATTTCTACATAACTATTTTATTCAATAAAATATTTAATTGATTTTGGATGTCAATTTGAAATGCTTAACAGCATCTTTACCCAATAAAAAGTAGTATATAATTGTAAGGGACGAGCAGACCCAAAATAAAGTGTTATTTTAAATTTTAATTATTGGGAAATTCAATCATCTAACTTCGTTTTATCAGGTTAGGCTAAAAACCATAAAAATTATTTTCCATGGAGTTAGTTCCTTGTTGAGGAGGCTCCAGTTAGTCAGTGATGTCACTTGGAACTTTTGATAGAGTGTATATATTGGACGCCAGACCCTTAACCATGACCACCTGACCTCATGGAAAAAATCCAAGAGGAATAACAAGAGAGAATGGAAAAAATAACTGAAGTCAGTCATCTTCCAACGTCTGTCCACCAAAGTCGTCCTCCTGGATTAATACCGTGACAAAGATCGTGCCTCTTTAAGGATATCATCCCCACTTCCGTGCCTCCACATCTCTGTGCTCCTGTAAACAGACAAGATCCAGAACAATTTGATTGAACATTCCATCGGTGGTTTCATCTTATGACAGATTTTCGACCCAGAAGAAAGGTATTTATCAACCCGCGATTCGTTTGTAAACTCTCTCTCTTGAACGGCCTAGTATAATTAGGGGGCTATACCAGAAATCGAATATATCTGCATTTTTTTTGGTTCTTATTAAAATTGTTATTTGTTAGAAAATATGGAATCTAAGTGAGTCACTACCTTGTCTCTCTCCTCACCTCTACTCCGAATCTCACCTTTCACATGCTACTGCTCATGTAATGTAAAGTCACGATTTCCGAGTCCTGAAAGACTCGGTGGTGTCACATCCTGACGTGGTGTCAAAGAGACACTGACCCTATGGTCACATAATAAAGTATCATAATTTTTAATAACAATCGAATAACCTATCAGTTTAAGAATCTGAACAGTTTTAGTGAAACTAGAATTAAGGTCTACCCCATATACAGAAACTTCTAAAATTTATTCAAAGTTGTTATATACACAGACAATGGACATTTTAAAGTGAATATTGTTATTGTGTCTTTTTAATTGGCATATATTAGTTTAACCTTTGGTGGACTTTTGATTTGACAATATTTTCAAACTCGAAAGTGCTACCATTATCAAAACATAGCACAAATAGAAACTCCTTATAAAAGGTAATTTCTGAAATTATCAATTACATCAATGTATACTTAGACATAATGTGAATAAAGTTGACTTAAGCATTTAGTTTGCACTTTTATACATACGATAATAAATTATTATTACCATAATAGATACAATATACTGTATTACTATTAACAAAAACACTTTGTTTTTATTGAATGCAGTAAAGACCAAAAGAAAGCTTTTGAATTGAACTCAAACTTCTTTGAGTTCTTGTAGGTACAGATGTTTCATGCACAACAAACTTAGTGAATACTGGAGTGTGTATTTGTGTGTTTGGAAATTTTGGTATGTTTTTTTAATATCTGTTTTGTTTAATACTTCGAAATTAAGATCATGTAAGAGTAAAAAAAGAGCTTTAAAAATTTTTATTTTAATAACGAGCAAAATTTCTACTATATTTTTACCCATCGAGAAATGACAAATCTTTCACGTTCTTCATACTTTATTCATCAAAAGTAATAGCATCAATGCGAATTGTGTATAAATTCCCATGCTAAATTTTGTTTTTTAACCCATGTTTAACATTTCAATATTTCAGACTAATTGATAATATAAATGCTTTTAATATAATATCTCCTTTAATAATTTAGAATTGTGTCACACACAATTCTAAATTATTTCTGAAATATTTTAGTGTTTGCTGGGCATAAAGATTTTTCAGCGGGAAAAATATGCATCTCCTTGCCCTATTTTTGTAATAAAGATATTTGACGCATATAATGATCCACAAAATTGAAATTCATACAGCAATACCATGCTGTTTGACAGGTTGCATCTTGTTAGCTTCAAACCAAAAAATTTCAGCAGTTTTAACGTACTTTCGATTGTGGATAGCCTTTTTATCCCAATAGAGCTCCCAACAGCAATTTATCAACATTTTGACCATAATGAGTAGTCGTAGTGAAATAGATTTCGTTCAGAAATTAACTACAGGAAATATTGCTATTCTTTTCTGCGAGAAATTATTACAATGTTTAATACTTTTTGTGGTTTTTGGTTTGACATATTTTAGATAAAATCTATTTCAATTACTCTTTGCATAAACAGACAAAAGTTCTGCTTGCGTTTTTAAGTTACATGCAAATGCGACCAGAAGTTTGCTACTTACATATAAAAATGTTTTGGTTGATTTTTAAAAGTAATAAGATAATAATTATTATATTAAATACAGCTTCGCTTAAATTATTGATTTCTTTTTTTCACAGTGAGAAGTCCAGTATTTTCTCATTTGAGTGTATCTCTTTACGGACTAACAACAATTAGAGCATTTAATGCTGACAGCAAATTTAAATCTATGTTTAATAAGTATCAGGATAAGCACACTGCAACGTGGTTTATTTACTTGGCTTTAATTCGATGGCTTTCCATATACGGTAGCATAATTTGTTTCATAAATCTAATTATCACCGTTATTGTTTTTGGTGTCTCAAATAATGCAGGTGAGCGAATGTATTTATATGTTTACAGTTCATAAAATAAATAATTTTTAATATGTACTTCTTGGTTTAGATGACGCAGGAAGCCAAATTGGACTTATATTGAATTATGGAATACTAATAAATTTGTATGTTCAACATGTTATCGGATGTGCATCCGAAATGGAATTTCAGGTATTACATATTTACCTAACTAGATTAAAAATTATATCAATAATTTTAAACAAAACAATCAGATTTTTTTATCGGGCGATATCAAATTTTTTGAGAAAGATAAATTTGTAAGAAAAAATTTTCTTATGACCACAGAGTACAAATTTTACTTATTATTTTATCCAACATATATTAAGAGAATAATGTTTAATATAAAAATTCTTGTGTTAATTTGAAAATACTGATATTATTAAATTTAGAAATGTTTTTATTCAGTTAATCAATAGTCAAAAATATATTAAAAAATACTGCAAATATTTGATTAATGCGTTTAATATAGCCTACACAGTAACATCGAAAAAATTATTAAACGCATTTATCAAAGGATGGCTATAGTAAATATCCTGTATACAGTGGAATCCTGTTGTAGTGATATTGCATGTACCCGCTTTTCTTTCAAGTTGGCCTTGCCAAAAGACTTATTCGTGAGGTTGTGTACAATGTGATCTGTCTTATATATATATGTGTTGCTAGATTTATATTTATATGGTTTATTATTTATTGTATGTGTTCAGCTTCGACAAATGCTAAAGTTAAAATTCAAACAGAATGTTAAAAAAATGGTTAAAATTTAAAAAAAGATGTTAAGATAAAAATTTCGAACACTGTAACAGATAAGATTCGAATGCTGGAAAGTTTAATAAAATCATTACTTTTTATAACAAGTTCCTTTTACTCCGATAACTTCAGACTATCGTCTATTGTGCGACAAAGCTCTTCTGTCACGATCCACAGATTTACCTCTTTAACTCAGTTCTTTAACTCGCTTAGCATTCCGTTGTGAAATTTAGTTTCCGACAAAATAAAAAATTTTCCCATCCCTTTTTCGATGTAAAAACCTGTATATTCTTTAAACCTTTGTGCGTGCCGCAACTATCCTCTTGGCTGCGCCAATGTAGGTGATCCTATATTACTACAGATCCTTTAAAAAAAGTTTAAACACGAAGGATTCGAATCATTGTTTTAACCTTTCCAAAATCGAAATTTCTTCTTAATTTCAAAGAACAAATGAAAGAACAAGAAGCAATCAAGAACTTTATATTCTATTTCACTTTTTCCTCTTACAATATCTATCGCTTTTTAAAATGAATTTTTAAAAATAATTTGACATTGCTTGGCTTTAGTATATTTCTTTCCATAATCTTATAATTATTCCTGCCTGTTGAATATTTATGCATATCTTTTTCATTATTTCGAGTAATTTCATCATTGATTCCAAATAGATTTTGAAACTTTGTTGAATTCGGTTTCTTTTTTCTTTTGAATTTTCCGTTCAGCGTATTATTATTAAATTTTAAATTAAAAAAACAAAATTTTTTTATCTTTTTACTCTTCTCAAAAACTCTAAATATCACTTTCTTATTTAAATAATTGTACCTTATCCCAGGATTTCAACCGAGATATTCACCTTCTCCCATTTCTTTTAAATATTTTAATTGAAATCTAATTAAATAATTTCTCTTACAACCTAATTCCATGTTATAAATTGTTTTACAGCGCTTCAACAATTGAGAAGAGTTTTTGATTTCCGAGTAATACGCATTTTTGTACAATTACTTATTCAAATGAAAAATTATTTACAGATTTCTAAACAGTATTTATTTAAGTTTCTTAATTTCATTTTGTTTCTTCTAATGTTTAACTTTAAATTAGTGATGTAACGAATATTCGGCCACTAATCGGTATTCGGCCTATTCGGCCTATTTTTCGCTATTCGGCCGAATACCGAATACCTAAAAACAGGAGTAAGAAATAACAAAACACAGTAAATTAATTCATTTTGGTAACTTTTATCAATGCTGAACATACATTTCAAGATCGAGAAAGCGCAATTTTTTGCTTATTTATGTAAAAGATCAAAGGAAAAGTAATATAACTAAGTTATTTTTTAAGAGATCAAAAAAGGGTAACAAATAAAATGAAAACTACCTACTTATTATGTAGTTTAGTCATCTGTATACCCGTATATAAAAGAACAAGTCCTGATAGGATAATTAACGCAGAGCCAAAAC